AGAAGTAATAATATATATATATTATATATATATATATATATATATATATATATATATATATATAAAAAAAAATATTTGGATTAAATATATATATTTTTTACAGTTTATAAAGAAGTTTGTATTAGAAAAAAAGATCTGGGCGATGTTGTGGAAAAATATTTGAAATTTAATAAATCAGGATTTGAAAAATATACTTTAAGAGTTATTTTTTTTATTTTTATTTTATTAAATTTTATTATTAAGTCTAAATAACATGCCGATATTATTATACCAAATTACGGAGAAGGATTTTCGAATTTTTATAAAGATGAAAGTATATATGTTTTTATTATAAATATATTTTTTTATATGTTTTTTTTTTAACTTTTCTTTTTAGTTATTGCAGGTTTTTCTACAGTTGAAAATGCGGCTTTGGAAATTATTATAAATTAAGCAGTTTCAAAGAAGATTGAAATTTAGAAAAATCAAAAATAATAATAATAATGATGAAAAGAAAAATATATAAATGCAAGATTTATAAAAAAATATATTTATATTTAGTTTAATTATAAAAAATAATTTATATAAATATATATATAATAATTAGTTTTATTAAAGTTATACAAAAAAATAAAATATTAATATAAATTTTGTAATAAAAAATTTGTTTGTATATTTGAATTTTATTTTTATCAATGAAAAATGTAAAATTTCTATTATAAATAAATAAAAAAGATAAATAAAAAATAATTTTATTATTAAGAAAAAAAATATAAAGTAGTATAGGATTATTAGATTTAGAAAATAATGTTAAAGAATATAAAAAATGTATATTAAAAAACATAAATATCAGAATTTTTAATTATAAATAAAAAAAGATATAAATAATATTTGAAATAAAATAAAAAAATTTAATATTTATAAAAAAAAAACAATAAAGCATTAAAATTTTATGAAAAAAATAAATAAAATAAAATTAATTAAATTAAAAAAAAAAGTAAATATTAAATAAAATATCCTAAAAAATAAATAAAAAATATAAAAAAATTATGATAAAAAATATATAAATATAATATACAAATGAATAAATATAAATTATATAAATATTTAAATATATAAATTATATAAATAATATAAAAGTATATAAATATATAAATATATTAATTTAAAAATTTATATATATATATAAATTATTTATATATTTTTACCTTATAACTTATTTTTTTTATTTATTATATTTTCTAAATATATTTTTATTATTTTTTTTTATTCATTTTATATTATCTTATTTTGAATATTTTTAATAATTTATTTTATATTTTTTTTTTATTTAGTTTTTTTTATATATTTTTTTTAAGAATAATAATTATTAGACATTATTATTTTATTGATATTTGTTATTTAAGTTTGATTTTTTTATTAATAATTTTTTTTTTTAATCTTTTTATATTATTTTTTTTTAATAAATATTTTTTTATAGAAAATTATAATTATAAATATTTTTTTTTTATTAAATACAAAAAAAACAAAATGTTTACCAAACTAAATAAATTTCCCATAAATTTACAATATATAATTATTAGAAATATAAATGTAAAAGCATAATCTACTCCAAATCCAAATTTTTTAAAATTCATGCCTTAGGGTCAAACTGTAATGTAGGATGGATCCACATTAGATATTGTGAATCAAAAATATGCATCAATATCCCCTTTAGCGGAAAGATTATTTAATATAAAAGGTATAAATAGAGTTTTTTATGCGAAAGATTATATATCTATTTCTAAAACCGAAGAATCTTAATGGGATAACTTAAAAGAAGAAGTTATAAAATTAATAAAATAGCATTTTGAAGAAAAGAAAGAGCCACTATTACTAGATTCATAACCAAATTCAGATACTATCAAAGAAGAAGATTCTGAAGTTGTATAAATGATAAAAGAAATCATTGATACAAGAATAAGACCTATGGTATAAGATGATGGAGGCGATATCATTTTTAAGAGATTCAATGAAGATTCAGGAATAGTAATTTTAAGTATGATGGGATCATGTAGTGGATGTCCTAGTTCATAAGTTACATTAAAAAATGGAATCGAAAAAATGATTATGCACTATGTACCGGAAGTCTCAGGTGTTGAAAGTGAAGATTTTGGTGAATAAAATTGATTATTTTGTTTATTTTGTTTTATGGAGGGGGGGGGGGGGAGGGATGGAAATAAATAAATAAAAGGAAAAAGGAGAAAAGTTATATAATAATATTAAAAAATTGATATTGACTATATTTTGTTATTTTAATATAAAAAAGGAGAAAAGTTTTATAATTGAATATAATTTTTTTGTTATTTTAATATAAAAAAGGAGAAAAGTTATATAATAATATTATAAAATTGATATTGATTATATTTTTTTTGTTATTTTAATATAAAAAAAGAGAAAAGTTATATAATAATATTAAAAAATTGATATTGACTATATTTTGTTATTTTAATATAAAAAAGGAGAAAAGTTATATAATAATATTAAAAAATTGATATTGATTATAATTGTTATTTTAATATACATTAATATATATATAAGAAAAAACAAAACAAAAAAAAAGGAAAGTAAAATAAACTAAAAAACATTATATAATATTAATTTTTTTTTGTATTTCATTTTAATTTAATCTTTTTATTTATTATATAAGGAATGTTTTATTCGTCCTTATAATTTTCACAATTCTCACATTTACAATTTTCAGTACATTTAATACCTGCATTAAAACACTCACAGTATTTTTTTGTACACTAAGTTTTTGTACAATTACATCCTTTTTTATGAGAAACAATACCTTCATATTAATTTTATTTTACGACTAAAAATTTTTAGGAAAAAGCGTCTGGATTTCTCATTTTGGCTTCTTATTTAGCACTTTCTATTTATTTTTTGTTATTTTCGGTATTCCCGCAATTTGTACATATACAGCTTTTGTTACAGAAAATACCATTAACGAAACACTCGCAGTATAATTATAAACATCGGGACTTTTTACATTTACAAAATTCTACTTTTCGAATTAATTAGGAAGTGTTTAGTTCATTTAAGCTTATTTTATTTGTTTGGGGAGATTTTTGAAGTTTTTCTTGGGTTTTTTAAGTTTTATAATTTTCTTTTTTGGGAGTTATTTTATTTTTCGGATTTTTAGGAATTTTCTAATTTCTCGTATTTTTGGTCATTTACTATTGTAGAAATTTCGCTTATTTTTAGGTTCTCTTCCTCCTCATCTTATTTTAGAGGAGTTTGAAATTTATATTATGTTTTTTTATATTTTCTTCTGTATTTATATTAAAATCAGATATTTCTATTATTTCGTTTTTGTTTGTCCTTTTTATATTTGATTATTTTCAGAGTTATTTTTGTTTTTTTACTCTTATATTTCATATGGACTTAATGATATATTCGAAAACAATTTCTAAGATGTATTCATACGTATTTTTTGGAGACTTTTTTATTAGGATGTCTATGGATATAAATAGTTCTTTATTTTTTATGATCGAATTTCAAATGATTAAGCTAGGTTTTGGGTTATGTCTTATAAAGGAGAAAATTAGAGAAAATTTAAATAACTTTGTGACATTTTTTTATTATTAATTTTTTTAATATTATAAAAAATTATATTTTTTTTTTTTTTTTTTTTGGATTATTATTTTATTGTTTGATGTTTTTTTTTTTTTTTTTTTTTAAAAAATTTAATTTAAAATATTTATTTTGAATTTCCATTTTTTTTTTTTTTTTTTTTAAAAAAAAAAAAAAAAAATTAATTTAAATTTAATTTATTTTTTTTTTTTTTTTTTAAAAAAAAAACAAAAATTTTTTTTTTTTTAAAAAAAGGTTAAGAAAAAAAAAACCCGGGGGTATTTTTTTTTTTACCTAAAA